CCAGCGCATGAAAGCTGAATTCGAAACCTTGAAGGGTAAATATCTTTCCGTGATTCCCTAGTTAATAGTTTAACCGCCAAAAATTCTCGCGAGGCCGTAGGTGATAATCAACAGCGAGGGAACGCTGAATTTGAATAGGCAAGGTTGAGAGTGGGCAGGGAGTTATTACCCTAAAATTTCAGCTTGCTAAACCCCGTGGTTATCGAGATAATATTTTGCCCGTAAAAACTTTCACTAGCCCGCAGGTGGTACCCGAGAGCGCGGGAATGCTGGATTTGAATGGGAAAGGTTGAGCATGGGCAGGGGGCATTACTCTAAAATTCCAGCCTCCTAGGCTTCGTGGTTCCTGAGACATTAATTTACCTGTAAAAAACTTTCACGGGGCCGTACATGTCACCTGCGGGTACGGGAAGGCTGAATTTAAATATGCCGCGTCACCCGTTGGCGGGGAACACTGTACCAAAATTTCAGCCGCCTAGCTTTTGTGGTCCCCGAGTTGAAAGTGCGGGACAAAATATGGGACGTACACACGCACACACACACACACACATAAACAACCCCGTGGCAATATACGTTTTGTAACGCTGTTACACAGCACAAAACGCATAAAAAGAGAAAGGAAGACAGGAAATGAAAATTAGAAAATTTGTGAGATTATTATGATGGTAAGAAATGTTTCGGCAATCTTCCTGCTGCAGTAAAAGAGTGAAAATGTGTCATGGTGACAGGAGTGGGGGCGCCAAAGTTGAAATGTAAGCTTTACAAAGCTGGGATGCTTCAGTAGCCAAAAATTTACATGAGCTTCAGTATCAAATCTTTTGAACCATCGGCCGTCGCCACAGTTAAAGTAGAGAAGTCGGTTGCAGTCGTTCGTCGCTGCATCGAAGAAACCATTGGCAAATTTGACGGTTGCCGAAATCGCTCGAGCCGCTTCACGTACAAATCGTGATTGCAGCTCCCGATCGACGCCATAATCGGCAGCAGCACAATTCTGAAGACCACGGACCACGCTGCAAGGCACAGCAGATTTTCTACTTCCACTAATGCACCCTTTCGCAAATTTCTATTCGACTATCCCCTCCATCAGATTGTGTATCTGTTCGTGTATGTGTGTATGTATGTGGTGTA